TACAAAAATAGTATTGTCAAACAGAATAGTTTATTTTTCCCTGTATCCTTCCTTTTTCTGCCCTCTTCTCGCACTGTTATTACTCTACACTTTGTAATTTATATCCTAGTGCGCACATGCACCCATAGCAGTGCTCCAGTGACGTCATACAGTGCAATGTTAGTACCCAGATTGTTTTACAATCATTCATCAATTCGATTACGGCTTGACCGATGGATGGGCCGTGGACTTTGCTTTCAATACAATACCTCCTTGATGATCACGCAATTTGTAGACTGCATCTGCATATTCTTAGTTCCCTATACGTGGAGAAACCCCAGCCATGTTTCTTGGGTATCGAAAATATATCAGGAGACGTCTTCCTTGACTCTTAGTAAAGGTTTGAATCCATTGACGCACATATAGTGGCAAACAAGGTGTTTTTAACGTCACTGACTTTTTTGTGACATCTATATCGTCTCCCGAATAACTTGTATCAGCTTACTTGTTCAAGAGAAAAATTGATTTGAATACCTATATGAAAGATAATAGACCTTTACTTGGATCCTGACGCTTGTTCTTAAAATATGTTATTATATGAAATAGTTTCAAAATTATATTTGCTTAGCCAGACAAATTGTTAGGACCATAATTCTCACCAGGCACAAATCACATACAGCCGTGAGTATGAACATGACGACTCGCAGCCTGCCTCAGAGTACTAAGTGTATAGAGAGATATTTATTCAGTTTATCATACAAAGGTGATTATAGTCAACGCCAAACAAAGTGGCGTGCACGTCATCAAGGTGGGTGTGTCGAAAAATTTACATTGTTGCCAAACTTTCTGTAAAATAATAAAATTTATTATTTACATATCTAGGTTTATAAGCAATATTAACCTCAAATGAGAACAAAAATAATAGTATAATAAAATTATAGATCTGTACTTGCATAATCATTAAGTATGACAATTATTGATCAGATGACACTATGAAACTACCATATTTAATTGATAGCTTAAAGGTACTGAATAAAAATCCAAATGGGGTCCTCCAAATTTTATGCATGGTATTTATTTTACAGAATTCATACAGAAAAATGCATTCTAAAATTAGGTAAGCTACTGGTGTAAGCTTTTTCTGTACAATAAAGTTAGTCGGAGTTTCTTTCTTCAGCGCTGTCTGAATCTGAATCTTCATCACTCTCAAAGTTGATTATTAAAGGTTCGATGTCTGGTCGATCAAAAATTCGTTCTCTTTCATACCATTTAAAAATTTCTTGCTCAGTATGTCGAACACTATTTTTCCACATGTCTGGGGTAACCGTTTGTAGAGCCTCGTTCCACATATCCAAACAGTCTTTTTCACTGTTACCATCTCTACCAATATGTCTGTTATAGTAACCTTTTGCTATGCCCCAAATTAACTCAATAGGGTTAAATATACAATGGTAAGGAGGCAGACGAAGAACTTTGTGCCCATGTTGTTCCGCCAATTCATCAATCACGTATATTTTAGGTGGTTTGTTTCTAAAAAAGCAGTTATTTTAAGAATAGGAATAAACAAAAGAAATATAAACTGTCGACCAAAATATATATAATTAAGAAGCATTATGTACCGAGCAACAATACTCAATAGCTCTGTTTTAAACATTGTGTTTAAAAATGGTATGTTTTGATTTGTCAACCAGTCTTGGATATTTTTTTTGTCCATGCATTGTTGGGCACTTTGTTCAATATCATGCTGTGATAAGGGGCGTTATCCAGTATAATCATAGATGGACTCTCCAATTTTTCTAATAACTGATGTTGAAACCACTTCAAAAAATTGTCCTGGTTCATCTCTCCATGGTAATCGCTCAATTTTGTTTTCGAAGAAAGTATCGCTTCACTACCCTCAATAAACCCATTTTCATTTCCAGCATGTAATATAATGTATCTAAAATATATTAGTTTTAAATTTTATAGTGCAAATTGTGTAAAAGTACATACCTTTTACCATCTGTTTTAATAGCTTTCACGCTTTTTTGGTTTCCATTTTGCCAAGAGCGACCTATGGTCCCATTTTGAAATATCCAAGTTTCATCGAGGAAGACAAACTGGTATAAGGCCTCAACCTTGGCTTGATTGTATTGCCTTAGAAATTCCACCCTTTTCAAAGCTATACTTGGTAGTTTCATGAGCCCTCGTCGCGGATTGTCCTTAAGCCACTTAAAACCAAGATCTCTAAGCAACCGCCTTAAAGACGTGGCGCTACCATCAAATAATGCCCTATCTCTTAATCGAGACCATAAAGTTTGTATCGTAACTTGTTCTTCTGAAACCATGTGTAATATGACATTATAATTTAGTTAACAAATTATTGCAAATTTCTGATAAGTTATTATAATAGGATCTTACTTTTGTGATACATATTATAGATCACTTCTCGAATGGCACTTGTATCCAATGTCGCTGTGTTGGTTACACGTTTAATATAACTCCGCTTTTTCTTGGGCGATTCTAAATTTGCATCACTTTTCACACCCTCGGAAATACGACTAACTGTCCTTAAACTAATTTTTAAAGCAGCAGCAACACGCTACAAAAAATGAAATAAAATTTCACTATTATTAATATACATTACATATAATTATTAGTAACCTACCTCTTGAACAGCATTTAAAGGCAACAAAGGCCCGTTGTTGTCCCTTTCTTGCTCAAAGCACACTCGTTGAATTATCCCTGGAGTGTTTTTTAGTCTATCACAAGCTGCAACTATGCTTTCTCTTAATTCCTCTACAGTGTTAATGGGACTTGTGTACACTAGTGTCTTGAGATATACCCGCAAAAGGAATTCTGAACTGTTGAGGTCTGGGGACCTTGGTGGCCATTCTTGGAGCCCACCGCGGCCAATCCGACGATTTGGATAAAAAGTTTGTAAATAATTACGAACCGCTACACTGAAATGCGCTGGTGCACCATCATACATGTACCAGATATTGTTTCTTGTTACTAACGGAACATCATCAAGCAGCAAAGACAACTGTTGTTGAAGAAAATTGAGGTAAGTCTGTCCGTCAAGTCGTCCCGGCAAGAAGAATGGGCCAATAAAATGGTTGCCAATAATTCCTGCCCATACGTTAACCGAAAATTGGTGTTGGAAATGGGTTTCGGTTACGACATAGGGATTTTTTTCTGTCCAGAAATGATTATTGTGGAAATTCTGAATGGCATTTCGAGAAAAATTAGCTTCGTTAGTGAACAGTATCATTGATTCAGATTGCAGATCTTGTGCAATTTTTTGAAGATACCACTGACAAATGGTCACTAGCCTTGGAAAATCAATGAGAAGTAATGCCTGTACTCTTAAAATATGGTAAGGATATAATAAAAAATCCACTAAAATTCTCCAAACAATTTGATGGAAAATATTTAAGTGTCTAGCTATCTTCCGCGTACTAGTTTCAGGATGTTCTTCGACTTCGTGCAGCACTGCTTTCTCAATCTCAGCTGTTCCCACACTTCGAGGTCTACTTTCAGATGTTCCTTTTCGCACAGAACCAGTTTCAACAAGACGATGATGAATATTATAAAAGGTTCGACTATCTGGCAAAGCACGATCGGGATATATCTGGTGATAAATCCGTCTGGCTTGCTCACCATTACCGTCGGCAACGCCATATACGTAAAGCATTTCCGCCATTTCTACACTGGAATAATTCACCATTATTAACAAAATTGTAAAAACTAAATAATGAAAAAGATGTCTCAGCGAACAGATTTGATATTCTAGAGAAACTAGATATTTATTGCTAAATTGCAAATAATCATATCACGCAACAAACACTCAAGCCGAGTCTGACAATGTTACACAGTATTGTTTTACTGGCGGATACCTCAAATAACAAAGCGTTTAAAATATGGACATAGATATTGCAGAAATTGGTGAAGCTGATGAAATAAATTTTGCTATGTATAGAATATGGCGAAATATTTTGAGTTGTGACAACACGACACTTCCCTAAAGATTTCGCATCATCCCAGCAATACCTGTGTTTATATTTACGCTATTTAATACGTACTGGACTTCTAAATATACATGGTGTTCATTTGAAACTTCCCGCCCCGGACTTATCGAAAACCACTGATCAAGAAAACACGCCAAGACCCGTCAACCGAAAACTACTTCACCCCCTTTCACACTCGGTCCCCATGGTCATTCCCTGAAAAATTTTAAATGACAAGGGTTATCGAGTAATAGCTTGTTTAAAAGTTCTTTTGAAGTCCTTTATTTAAGCGTTTCATTTTTTAAAATCAGTCAAGTCGTTTTCGAGAAAATTAGAAAAATCTTTATTTATCTTAATTATCACCATTGTCAAGCGGTAGATTCGAAAAAGATGGTGCAACTGGCCACGAGATATTGAAGAAGGAGCTATGGTATAACTAGAGTTCTGTTTTCAACAAGAGAAACACATTGTACACAAACCAACACAAATGCACAAAGCCGTAAGCATTTTAACTGGAAAATCCCTAGCTATATGCGTCTGTACAGTGTACTTATTTAGAGATGATAGAGGGATTAACTCAATGCTTGGGAGTATTATACGGAAATAAATTCACTAGAAATACTCCGAAAGTCCTTCCGCTTGTATATATATAGCACATTAAAGCACATAGGGATCCTTTAGGGAGAAACGGTCCGCAAAGGGTAGGTGACAAGGGTAGGATAATACATTTCTTGTATTTCCACAATGCCATAATACCCATCTCTGTGCATATTTGCAACCAACGTAGCCTTGACTACTGTCTTGTTCCCATTCTCCTTTTTGTCACCACATAGACAGCAAGTATTATTTTTGAAATAAATAGCATAAATATAGTCTATTACCTAGAGTTTACACCAATCTTATTAGTCTTGGCTACACCTGGACCTACATATCTAACTAACTTTAGACCTACGCTTCACATACGTATACTTGGAGGCAGTGGCGGCTCGTGGCAAAATAAAACAGGTGTTCTGCAAATCCGAACTCACCTACTTTTTATATGTCAGTTCGATCCTGCGCTCCTTCTAGGCAGCAAATTTGTCGATCACCTTCTCATTGAAATTTTCCATGGTCGAAATAAATTCTTTTCCAAAGGACAGCATCGTCAAGGCTGTAAGGCGATCCTGAGTCATAGTACTTCGAAGAAAGGTCTTGATTCTCTTCAATCTTGAGAAATTGCGCTCAGCCCCTGATGTTGACATAGGAGCTGTAACAATAATTTATAATAGCTTTATTGTTTCTTTTAGTGTTTCCTCCAAACTATTTTGTATCAAAAATTTCAAAACAGACAGTGTTCCATGTAAATCTCGGCAATCATTCCGTGCATAAGTAACAGATAACTATGTCTTCAAATGACTTTTTTCTAATTCGGGATAAGCCAAGCAGGTAGTTTCCAACTTGTCATCAGGAAACTTACCACAGTATTCTCCAAAGTGTTCGGGGGAAAAAAGGGATGCGGCTACCAAATGATCTTTGAACTGAAATCTGTCATTTGCAGAATTCACTATATTGTCACATACATCTAATGCGGGGCAACACGGTGATCGTGACTGCTATTATTACGTCGTCTCCTTTTGTTGCCTTGGGGTTCAGTGCAAATACATTTGGCTTCATTTATTATGTCCTCAATTTTATTTCTCACATCGACAATAAATTTTTCAAAATTATCGATAACCGTTTTAACTTGCGCTGGCTGGTCAACCAAAACAGAAAAACAGAATCGTTTAACATGCGGCGAATACCGCAAGTTGCCCTGCAAACCGTTTCATTAGCGAAATTTTCTTCTATTTCTTCCATGCATACAATGAGTGATTCTCTGTTCTCAAACACTACATTAGTTGTTCGAATATTAAAACGAGTTGTTGCTCCTTGGGGAATTTTTTAACCCCACAATTCTGTTCAGTACCTCTACGCGTTGAGAATTATTAAAAAATCCCGGAATATCTTTCAAATCCCCAAAGAACACCCGAACCTGAGCATTATTGGAAGCAGCTTGGGACATAATCAGGTTTAACTGATGCGCATAGTAATGCACTTAGTGAGCAAATGGATATCTTTGTTTAATTTTTGCCTGTACTCCAGCATTATGTCCGCTCATTACGGCGGCTCCATCATAGCTTTGTGAAATCAGTTTGTTAGGGAAATTTCCTATTAATGGATCTACGGCGCTCATAATATGTCTTGTGAGATTATCAGCGTCACATTTTTCGGGATTCATATAATTCCAAAAACGTTCTACTGGTTCGCCGTTAAATACGTATTTGAAAATTGTTACCAGTTGAGTTTTCCCCGAAATGTCCGTTGTTTCAGCTGCTATTATCGTCAAATACGAGGCTCTGTTAATCTGTTTTATTATTTCTTCATGACAAACTTCAAGAACACAGTTCAGTAGATCGTTTTGTATTTCTTTCGAAGTCCCTTTAAATATTGAAGCATTTCTTATGTGTTCGCTTACGGTTGTATCAAGCTCAGCAGAAAAATTAATCAGTCCATGAAATATTCCTGGGTTTTGGGAGCTCTCGGTATCGTCGTGGCCCCATAGCACCAATTCAAATGCACTGCAAATTTTATACAATCGATTATTTTTGATAGAACGTACCTGTTTTTTGTAACGGTATCATTATGCTGTTTTACATTTCTCCAATATGCGGAATCTAACTGAGCTCTGATGTTAACAATCCCCAATGAAGCCAATTCCATTCCATCATGCTTCTTAATTTTTTCGCTCAGGTGCACTAAATCTGTAACGCCTACTTCCGTCCAAGCTTTGGCACCGCCAAAAAGTATGCAAGGAAAGCAGAAAAGGGCATTCTTCCTGTTGATCCCACAAATCCAGTCATTTCTGGTATAAATCTCCCTGCTGAGATGCGCGTATAGCCCTTCACGACTAACGCCCTGTGTTTCTATAAATATGTCCGACAGCGGTCGACCTGACACCTCCAGCTCAATTTTTTCGTCAAATGTGTATTTCTAGAATCGTTTCACGCTGATAAGTCTGTAAACCACATCCATTGTCTTGCACTACCCTTCTACACAGCACAGTCAGTCAGTCAGTGAGCCACTAGTCACTCAACGTAAGACCCAAAATACCTAAATAAAACATTTTTCGCATCCAAACGTTAAGCCACGTCACACGACAATACCGCCGAGGACCGAGCACCGACTGTCGAGATAAAAATATTTTCCAAGTCAAGAGTAGACTCGTCTATAATTTTTGTAATCAATTTCTTTAGATGTTATGCATAATAAAGGAGTTACGGACTGAGCCCGCAATAAAAACTCACCTATGTTTTGTGTCTCAGTGTGTTTAATTATTACTGACAAAACTGCGAACTTTGAGTGCTCATAGAAAAATCAACTACTAAAATAAAAACCAGGACGTTAATGAAAGTTTGAAATATATATGTTCGGAAATATTTGGTTGTAAAAATTTAATAGGTGCAATGAACTTAAGGCTTGGGTAATTTCCAGGAACGAAAAACCCTCTTATGCACTCCGAATCCTTTTCTGTTCTAAAAATCCTGTCGTGCATATTTTCCTCCCCTTACAAGCTGCATCGCAATACATTGTAGCCTATTTTTGTAATCTCTTTATTCACCCCAACATTCTTGTTTACGAGCATTAAAAATGCACACCCTCAATGAGTCAGCCTAGCAGACTAAAGCCATTTCCACACCTACGTTTCGCCCCTCGTCAACGGGGGTCCAGATAACGACTCGATTAATTTCTTTCACCCCTAAACCGCTATAAATCTGCTGTTCTAAAAAACAAATCTATTAGCATGCCGCAAATAAAATCTCCCCGGAATATTCACCGGACCCGGCCATTTCTTCCGGGCGATTTGGTGGCCGCGTTTTAGAGGGAGATCTGAGACATCGCTAAGTTTTTTGCGCCCAAGTTATTCGCAGTCGGCAAAAGCAAGTTTTAGGTGGTGAATTCAGTCTCGATGGAATAGTGACAATTCAGAGGTATGTACTATTTTTGGGAAATATAGGAATAAATAAATAAAACCTTGGAAAAAGTGCTATGTCTACATTGTATCTGATAGTGATTCTAATTAATAAATGAAGCTCGAGGGCTGAATTGAGTTTATTTCTCATGCCAAGACAATCAGAAAACAACTATGTTTCATGCTTGTTAGAAATCAGCAGTATGATATAGGTGTAATCGTCTGGGGGCGAACAATGGAATGCAAACTAGGTGGATATGGTCTACTGAATAGCTCAGTACGTAGTACGCAAAGAGGTGATATCTGCCACTTAAAAATATATCGCAACGCCTCACATACACTGAAAACTAACTGGGTAACGTGTACGAGAGGGAAGTGCGAGAAGCTTGCAATACGTGTGGTAGAAGGAGATAGAACAACTCGTTGCCTAGCAGCCAGAGTAAGAGGTCACGGAAGCCAGTGGCGCACTCTTTCTGACACGCATACCGCACGCTTTTCGCGCTATCTCTTGTATACATGACGACGTTGGAAAAATTTGAATATCACCGTACCTGCGTCCCTTACGCGGAAAATACAGAAAGCTTCTACTCCTCTGAAACTGGATGACAGTTCTGCTATATGTACGGTAGATGTCAGCCTACATAATGAGTTTTCCAGTGGATTATATTTGCTTGTTTTCTTTCCGGTGTCTCCAAGACTAGAGATATATTGCATACTAATGAAGGCTTGCAGGCATAAAACAATGTTATGTACAGTTGGTTAGAGTTGCAGAGACGAAAAACTAAGAGCCCGAGTTCAGCATTTTTTTCATAGTACCCCACTGCTGATTGCTTTGTGAATACTCAGTATTCCAGCTAATTGACGAGCTGTCTTTCCAGTCTTGGCGAGCGAGATCTATCCGTTCGTAAACCAGAACTGCCATTGGGTGCCTTTCAGAATTTTTGGTAAATAGGGCAAGTGTATCAAAGTTTGACAAGCCACATTTACACATATTCGCTGATACGCTCCGCTCACTACAGTTTTTTCGGTCTATTGCATTACCAACAGACTAACCTCAACTCGTTGGGACTTGTCCTCACTTACGGGTTTTAGGTTAAGTTTTGAGTTTTGTTTATGTATAAGATCCACAAAATTCAAATTGTGATCACTGACGTTAACAGTGGATATGAAAAATTCTGCTATGGTACAGTTAAAAATAATCAGGAGCAGTCTAAATGCCAGGACACCGCGGCTGCTATGAGGAGGTTAAAAAAACTTTGTTAATCCGTCCCGTTAGGAAGGAGTCATCGATCATTTGGGGTTAGGTTATATTTAAGTTATGTTCGGATCAAGGTTAGCTCTGGTGTTATTTCACTGATATGACAACTCTATTCCTGAGCTGCTTTCCAGTGGTTTTTGTTTTCAAAGTAATACGCTCCAGAACTGCTCCAAAAACAATGCAGGACAATACAACGTGCAGTGGAACTGGTACTGGAGGTCTAAGCTGTAAGTTGTATACTATAGCTAGAAGGAAACGGCAATGCATAGGTACATAGTGAGGATTTGTGTGCTAATAATATGTGCTGATGATAATTCCATTGGGTTCTTGTCTCAAATACACTTACTTGAGATTCAAAGCTAGAAATCAATTGCGCATCCACCTTCTCTTATCCATTCTGGAAATCACATATGTAAATTTGCTGAATTTCAGAAATGAGAGAGATATGAAATAATTATATTCACTGTACGCTGTCGAATTACAAGTCGTATACATGCTAACAGTAATAATACACAACGCGGGCGCGGTGGTAATTTGCCGTAATTTTCCTCAAGGTTTTTAGAAACACAAAAAACGTGAAAGTAAAAAACTGTGATTTATAGCTTTGAACATAACCAGACCAATACACATAAACATCCAGATGCGATCTTGCTACTCAACCAACTTTCTTCTCAGAGATAAAAACTACAGACTGCGCGGCTTCACAGAAATTATATGCAACCAACAATGCGTGTCGTTGAGCCATTCCTCCATAGATGGACGCTCACAACGATCTTAGTGAAGCGTGGAATGACTGCAAACTAAAAACCACCTAGTCCGCAAGATGACATTTTATAGCTTTTTTTGTTGACGTTTTATATGTTTTTTACATAATAACCGTGTCGGACGCGTGTCCAGAAAAGGACGTACCTCCACGCGTTTTAACGTATGATATTCAAGATTATGGTATTAGAAGCAGCATATTTTGCCTTGTTGGTGTGATCAACTAGGAAGATGCGATTTGTTGTTTCTAAAAACACTCTGTGTAAATTCCATCTAAAACAGACCATAACATACGAGCAAATTAAAACGGAACAATGTATTGGCAGAAGATGCTGTTTCTTGCAAAGTCTCATCTTCGCCCGAATTATGAAAAAATGAGAGAAATGCCTTACTGTATGCAGAAAAAGGTAACGCGCGAGGTACCAGTAGTTTCCCTAATCGCGATACTACCGCCCTTCCATACAGGGATGCGTGTTTAACTCACAGTAATGGAATGTAGATTGACAGATGAAATTTTACTTTGGAATACTGCGAAACCATATTTTTGGAACGCCAAAATAATTACATGGAATGACACTTGATGGCAGCCGACTAATTTCTAACCACGTCTTCTGAGATCATTGTATTTATTATAAGAAATTCTAAGCTCTTTTTGATAACCAAACAAAGTAATAACAACACTCTCACTCCCTAGGTTTTGAGCACGGAAAGGAAA